AAAACTAAATGTCCTATAAAAGATTTAAAGATGCTATTAATGTAGGCGTTTACTAATAAAAGAAAGGACAAAATAATAGAGTTAATTTGAAAATTCTCGGAAAGAATGTTAAATTAATTTTTAAAAACTGTTAATTATGTCACTGTGTTTTAGTTTAAATATATAGAAAAATATAAGATTTAGAAAATTTTTGGATATTAAGATTATCAAAATTATGTGTTCTATACTAGTCCACTTCACTTTTTTGATTATCACAAAAATTGCATTAATTTAGGAGATATAAGGAATTGGATTTAATTTAGAAATTGGAAATTTTAATATTTTAAATATTTACATATGATTATTTTTTGTATCAATCGAAAATAATTGAAAATTTTTAAAAAATCCAACATAATTGTATAAAAATCTGACAAATCTTAAAAGTGTTTAGAAAAATTTTGATGTTACAAATCAAAAATTCCAAATTCCTAACTAAAATTTTAAATTTTTACAAAAAAATTCCATAATCTTAGTAAAAAAGTTTAAAGCTAAAGTGCTAAACTTATTTTCCTTAGAAGGTATTTAAAGAGAACATTTCTTTCTTTTGTTAAATTGAAAAAAATTAGTATAATATTCCTTGCAATCCTATACCTAATGATGTGAACACATTTCAAAAGAGCTAATAATCAAAATTATAGCATTCACATCATACCCTGAACACACATTTTCTTGAAAATTCTATATGTTTAAAAAAAGGTACATAATACTAAACAGTTAAATATGTGTGTTTTTGTCTAAACATAACCAATTTGTTCAAATTAAATCTTATTCCTTAAAATTCTTACTACTGTACTCTTATTTTTGCTATACCACTTGCTATGTTTGAATGATATATATATATATATTAAGTTGCTATGAAGAAACAAAAGATATAGATATGCATAATATTCTTTAATGTATATATTGTAATCCCAAATAGTCCCTTTTTAAATACCTTTAGGAAACTTAACAATAATTATGTACATAGTATAGACCATATGGAATTGACCGCAGAATATTTTCTTTAAAATCTATTGTTATAAAACTTAACTATATACATATATTACAATATAGAACGTATAATAGAACAAACCATATACAAACACATTTATTACAACAAACATACAAATACTAAATGAAATCTATAATATAATATAATGTAATAATATAAATCTCATGTACTTAAGGATATAATACACACTTTAAAAAATAAATAGTTTTTGTATTATACTTGGAAAAAAAGAGCAAAGAAAAAGGTGGGTAGCAATTTTCAATTTTTAATACACACTAGCTTTTACTTTTATGTAAGTACATATATATGTACACACTACACAATTTGTGAATAAAAATATATCCCCATTTAAGGGCGCTTCTGTGTACAAAATAACAATGACTTTGTTGACTATTATAAATATCCTTTTTTTTCTTTACAATATTTTTAAACTTTTAAGGAAATGAAAGTGTGAGTGTACAACCATTTTCTTTGTTATCATTTTATTTTAAAATGGTATTCAATTTGGGATTGTGTGGTATTTGCACTTTTATTTTTTTTTAATTTAAATACTTAGATATAGATTTAAGATAATTAAATTAATTTTTACTCTAGTAAATTGATATTAGAAATAAAAATTTAAATTTAAAATATTTAAATAATTTCCTCCTTTAACAACATTAAAATTTTAAATATCTAGAAAAAAAATATTGGATATATTTCTATTTTGTGAAAATCTGTGAGTTAATAATCACACAATATCATATGGTCGATCGTACTGATTTTTAACAATAAAATTTGGAAACAATATGCAACTACACAATAAAGTAAATTAAATTGCTTAAGTTGAATAAGTGTAGTGGTAAATTAAATTGTTAAATAAGACAAGCGTTTACTAGTTTTAATTGATAAAATGCAACCAATTAGATATTATAATATCTTAAATTTAATCGAAAATAGTTCCGTTCTGTAAATGTTATTATGTACATAATTATGTCTGACATTTTTGATTTATACTATACTAATTGAAATTAGAATTTATCTACTATTAGATTTGCTACTTTAGTTTACACTTATGTTTGTTTAATATTTAAGCATACTTTATAATAAATATTCTACTGCCCTACTTAGGAATTATTTCAGAAAATTTTCTATCAACTAAGCGAGTACAATAATTTTTATATTATTTTATTGCGAAAATTTACTACTGTATTTTTATTCCTCTTTTTTAAATATTTCATTCTTTGTCCTTTTAGATTATTGCCATTTTTCCTCTTTTAAATAGATCCACCATTAAAAAGCAGCAATTTACCTTCAAGTATTGAATTCAATCCACTTCATATTTATATTTATATTCGTTTGCAGTTGCATTCTAAAATTAATGTTGTATATATGTATAATTAAAAAAATATTCAAATAAATTTTATATTATTTAATTAAAAATTATTTATTCAATCACTACATATTTCCATAATATACTTACATATTATAATTAAGTATGTATGTATAATTTATAAACTCTTTGAATATTAACCACACATCTTTACCACAATTTACTTTTTGTTTAAAATTGCAATTATTAAATTATCATTATTATTACTTTAAAGCTATATGATTAAGTTATTATAATATTATGATTATGATTAAAATGAGTAAAAAATTCTTTTCGTTATAAAATTCTATACATGTAAAATCTTTTAATATAATTTTTTGGTTGTTATACTTAATAATGAATACATAGAATATAATAATTATGTACTTAAATATTAGTTATATTACAATATAGAATGTCATAAAAGTCCGATAAAAGAAAGAAGATTTTAAAACCACAAATTTTATATCCATTATAAGATTGAATAAATTTAATATGAATATTACATAGTGCATTTACACTATGTATATTCTATATAAAAATAGAGTTGGTTTAAATTACACCTTAGTTAAATAGTACTTATATTGTAACATTAAGTATACATTTTAAATATAATTATAATAATCTTCTTATAATACGCTTCTTATGTAGATATTAGGGTTAACACAATATGTACACTTTCATCTGAGTTTATATTAAAGTGATTATGTGCATTAGCATTTATAATAATAATATGCAAATAGGGAAAACCACTTCTAGCAAGAAAAGGAGTAACTTTATTTCTGGTAAAGAAATTCTTTTTTTTTTTATGACAGTCATAGTTTCTTTTGAATTTTCTATATGTAGCTATTCTCCTTGAATATTTAAATATTCATGTTTAAAAGAAAAAATTCTTCAAAAATTTTAAATCAACCATGAAAATCTTTTTACATATTTTCTCAGTATAAAACTATTTGTTGTTATTATTTTCTTATTTTATTTTCAATAATTTCTGAACACTTTTTAGTTTTTTTTTCATAAAAGTTTCTCATATGATATAAATTTTATTTTTCCGGGAGTGAAAAAGTTTTTTTTTTTTAATTTATTCTTTATTCTACAAACAACCAAATACTAATATAGTATTATTCTGTGCTTTACTACTACTACATAATATATATGAGTTGATTTTATGTATGTGGAATAAATCATGAGAACAGAAAAATTGAAAATTTTGAAGGAAGTAATGATTATATTTTAAAAAGTAATAATAATGACAAAAAAAACAAGGAAAATAACAAAATTTAGAATTGAAAAGTTTTTTGTTTTTTGTTTCAGAAAAGTTTACACAAATTTTACTTTATTCCTCATTTTTTGTTTTAATATTTCTCATATAATTTTCTATTATAACATGCCAAAGTGGAAATATTTTATATTAAATTCTATCAACTAACTTTAGGATACTTTATTCTGTCCGTCTGTTCAAAATGAGTTTTTTATACGAAATACGGGTTTATCTAGATTTGTACAACCGAGGTGACAGTGCACCATGATCACGTATAAGGATCTGCGAAACTTTGACAAAATATTCTTAGACAAAATAGTTTTAATTAGAGAACAAAACAATTATTTGCAATAACAAGCAAACAATTGCAATAACCCGACAGAATTTTGTGATTTCTGCTTAATAATAAAATCAAACCCGCCGTCGATCCTGTACTATAATATAAATACTGTTATAAAAATTATAATAATACTTAGAAATTATACAATTAATTTAAAGATATTTATATTTTGTTGTTAATTTAGGGTAAATATTCTGGGATTTATATGAAATACAACTCAAACTTATTTAAAATACTGTTTTTCTTAGTTCATTTTATAAAAGAATGCATATATTTTTAGGTAGAGTTCAATAAAGCTAAAACGTTTGAAACTCTAAATGAAACTTTATATTATGTAGTACAATATTTCCAAATCATTTGAAAAATTAAATAAACGGTTTCTTAAAAATATCCTATTAATTGAATTATAATAGCAATAAATATTTATAATCTTATACGAGTCAATCGAATCATGATATCTCGACAGAGATGTTACATGAATAAAATTAAGAAATGAGCAAATAAAAGACACCTAAAGAGAAAATTCGATTTTAAAATATAAATGAAGCTTCCTCGTATCACTCCGCGCTTATTTTAACATATAAAACGGAAAAGTGTTTTATTATCTTGAATGTTACTGTGATTTCGATTCTCAATTTCCTATATATTTTTTACTAAGGACACACTATTCCATTCAATATTTGAATCCGAAATCCAAAATTCACTTGTAATACAATTTTATAATGTATACCATAAACAACGAAAGGTACAAAATATTTTATAAATCATGTATTATAAATCAAATTTCTAAAAAGTGTATTTGACATTTCTCACACGTATCATATACATAATTCATCAAAATTCAACTATAAGTTATGTAAGTACATATATGCATAATTTATGTAATAAAAAAAAGAATTTCAATGTTAAAAGTTCAATCCACTTCACATTTAGTTTATAATGCAATTAATACTCATATGCATATTAAATATTTACTTACTCTTGTATATTATATACCTATAAAAATATATATACATACCCATATTTGAAGTCAGTTCGAGTGTTCTGGAATATTAAAAAACTTCATCTCATCTTTAGAGCCATTAACATTTTACTTCCAAAAAATTTTTACTTCTTTTTTTTTTTAATATTCAATGGTTAAAAACTGGGGGTTGAACACCTACTACGTGATATGCTCTTGGTATATAAAATTTGCTTGTTGTTTTTTTGTCATTTATATTAAAATTTAAAGTCCTTATGCACCGGGAATATCAAGCAAAATAAGCTAAAAAAAAATTAAACAAAATATTTTAAAATAACAAAAAAAAAATTATAAAGACAAAGAAAAATAAATAAAAAAAAAACAAAACTAATCGCCATAAGCGCCACATCAGGAAGAAAAACTTTATATAATATAAGGAGAGCAAAAGAACAAAAAAAAAATAAGAAAAAATAAGAAAAAACACACAATCAGTACATGTGGTTATGTTGTTATTATGAGGACAAAGTTTTTCGCATATCCTGGCAAAAAAAGGACGAAAACGAAAAATCGAATAAAAGAAGCAAAACCAGAAACCATAAAATATAATTTTGTAGTAAAATACGACAAAAACAAAAAAAAGTGAAAAGTGTGAAAATTTTTGAATAGAATAAAAACTTTTTCCAAGCTTTCATTTTCCTTTTGTCTTTTATATTGAAAGAAAAAAAAATACAAAAGAAAAATTAAATCGTTTTCATTTTTTGCTTTTTTTTTGCAAGGTTGACACATTCTAAAGTAGAAGAATACAAAAAAAAACAATAGAAGTGTAGGAGAAAACACATTTTTTTTTTCTTTAAATTTTTGGTACGATCCTTTAAGTTTTTTTTTGCACTCTATTCTGTGGTATTTCTGGTAATGAAAGCTCTTATAGAGTTCAAAAATATAATAAAAAATAGGAACAATTAAACAAAGAAATGACGTATGTTTAGTACATAAATAAATTTATTTATCACTGATTACTACAAGATATAGTATTAACCATTAATATTTCTAGGATTTTTGGTATTGACTCAAAAACGGAATTCTAATTTACGCATTATTTCCGAATAGAACAAAATATTTGGAATTATTTTTTGAATATTGAAAAAGGAATAGATTGCAATTTAGCGACCAAAGATTTTATGGTTTTGATTGAGTGTTTACGTTTAACGTCATAAAACCTTGCTCATGTAGTACAAATGCTATCAGCTACACCAGCTTTTATGAAAGTGTATACAGTTGATAGGAATTGTAAAGCATATTATTACAATTTATTCTCTCAACAGAAGTAACTGTGACCTATTTTTTTGATAATTCATTGTCATCTACTTTTTTTATTGAAAAAATTGTTTATTCATTCCGTTTTCTAAATTTATTAACAAAACTTGGCACTATTTTTGCCTGGTATAGCATGCTCCAACTGTTAATGAGGAAAACTTAGAATCTTAACTGGAAAAATGAGAATTCCAACATGGTATTTTTCTTAAACGGTTAGCAAAAAACTATACATAAGCACAATGAGACTGTGCATCATCATGTCCAGGACATTACAAAAATTCTGCAGTATAAAGTTTAATGTGAAATTTACTCGTTTATATTGTAATACCTTTTCGAAAAATAGATTTAAAAATACATAATCTGTTTTTTTTAGATTTTCCTAAAAACAAAAAAATTGAAAATTGTTTTTATAGCCTCATGTAGACGAGCATGTAAAAATTTGTATATAATATAAAAATAGGGTGTTGAAATAGAGTTAGAGGCAACACTTTGATAAGACTTAAAAAAAATCAAGTCTAATAATGTGTGAATTTACAATATTTTTATATTAGAGTATTCTCTTTTAATAATTGTGGTATATTGGTAAAATTGCTTAAGAAAGTTAAAAGAAAATATATTCTACACGACTTTTATAATGCATATATAGCTTGGGAAATTTTTTAAGTTACTGAAAAGCTTCGTGACATATCCATGAATTTTATATATGTAATAAAACACATAGTGTTCCTTGTAAAACACTGATTCTGTGACAAAAAAAAACGAAGTCAAAAGCATAAAAGAAATTATGGTTTCTTTTTTCTTTACTTTAATATGAAACTAAGAAGTCTTTGTATTTTACTTGAGGCTAATAATAAAGAATATATTAATAATAAAGAAAATTTAAACAATATGGAAAATTCATTCTTTTGCTGTTATACAATTTTATAAATTTTCCATGTTTTTCATCTTTTCTTTTTAAAGTCATTTTTATAAGATTTGGTAACGTTTTTTTTTTTAAATTAAATTATTTTATATAGATAAAAAATAGAAGAAAAAGTACCATGTTTTTTTACAAAGTGTTCATAATAAAGTAAGAAATAAAGTGGAAATAATCTACATCTACAACATAATTTTTTACTAACCAAATATTAAGCATTTGTTTTGGATTGGAAAAAATAATCGTTTGCAGAAACAGCCGTTCTTTAAAGTAATAAGTAGTCACAAATTAAAAATGATTGAACTTAATTTTCACTATTAAAAAGAAAAATGGATTTAAAATCAATATATTTTGTAAAATTTTAATACCTAAAATTTATTTAATAAAAATTAATTATTTTTAATAAAAATAATCATAGAGTATGTACTGATCCAAAATTCTATTTTTCATTTTGCATGAATTAGATTTAGTAAATTAAAACAATTACCACAGAATGACTAACAAAATATACAAAAAAAATATTTATTTGCCTATTATTTTGAAAACAAAAATTTTTACCAAATTTTCCTGATTTCAATACCACGCTACTCTTATATAAAATATCCTTTTTATCGACCGCATTGCATACAATAAGAGAAGACATGTGATGATACCAAATTTCGTATGTCTTGTTTTCGGATGTCTTTCCAGATAATTTTTCGGAAATATTAGGGCTTTAAAACAGAAATTTCAATAAAAGCCGATTTTATTCATATTTGATCATATTTAAGGAATTAATTCACGGAATGTCTCGAAATATAATATTTAAGTTCTGGTTGTTAGGGAAATTAACTGGAAAACTTTGTAGGGCAAAATGGATTACGGAAATAAGAACCAGTAATAAGAACCAAATTTTCATTGTTCTAAGTACATTAAATAATTCTTTCATAGAATATGTAATAAATATTGAAAGGAAATTTTCATAATCTTATGCAATACTTTAACAATACGGTCGGTTATGTGTTGATCACATCAGATTTTTTTTTTTTTATTGTATACATACACGAAAATAAAACTGAAATTGCTGTCACGAAAACTCAAAAATAAACACATGTATGTATAGAAACAATAATAATAATAATAAAACAATAACTGTAATTGTACCTATATAGGTGAAGTAAAAAGGTGGTGAAACCAATCACGTTTTTGTCTAAATTAAAATAAATATTTTTTGAATTCATTTGAATATGAAAAAGTTTACATAAATTGTACATGAGTTTTATAAAAATAAAAAAAAAAATCATTTAACAAAATTACATACAATGTATTCAATATTTTTATTTGTTCACTACTTCAATGTAGGAGTAAAGGATATTTAAAAAAATATAAGAGGATAATATTAGTTAACATACGAAAAACATTTACAGAAAAATGGAATAAAATACAATTTTAGTATAAATTTAAATTTTAGAAATTTTAAATGTGAATTGAATTGTAATAAAAAATTTTGTTCATTAATCGTATATCGTATGCGATTAATATACAAAAAATAATTTAAATTTTAAATTGTTAAATTTATTTTGTCAATAAAAAATGCATTTTAATAGCTTAATGCTCAGAAATTGGTCAAGCTCCATATAAGCTATTACAATACAGTTTTCAAATTCAACTTACGAATTCATTTATTTGAGCTCCAAGCACCAGTATATTTTAAATAGCATCCGAAACTTGTGTAATTGCTCTATCCATTAGGAAATATTTCAAAAATCAAAGATGTCTAAAATAAAAAAATATTAGGAATTAAATTAGTTAATGTAATACTACTAGAACTAAATATAAATTTTAGAATTAGTGAAAGAATTTCAAAGATCATATATTTTTCAAAGGTACATATTATGTACTTCCAAAAGATAGCGATCGGCGATCTGTGTGCCCGCGCTTGTATCTTAAGTTCGGCTGAACCGATTTTGATTTACGTGAGTTTTATTTACATTTTTTACCTTATTTACAGAACTAATTGATGAAATTTCTTGAAATTTAGTATATGAGTTCTGATTAAACTGAATATTTAATTTAACTGAATATTTGATTTAATTGAGTTCTGATCTAACTGAAGAACTTTTCAGGGAGTTCGCTTGGCACAAAGCGAAACTTTACTAAGATCCAAATTTGCATTTTTCTAGGTATGTTAACTGAAAGTTTGCTAACATCCTTTCATGATCTTCTGTAAAATTTTCTCTAAACTAGACAATGCACAACAAAGTAAATAACCGACGGTCGGTTATTTACTGATCTACATCAGATTTTTTAAAAACTAGTCGTATGGCATATGTTAAGGGCTCCTTAACAATCCTTTCCTTTTTTTAAAGAATTTTCCTAATAAAATAACGTTACGCATTCAAAAATCTCTTTATTTCTTATTTTTTTTTGCTATTTTGTTTTTCTTTTATTTTTTTTATTTTATTTTCCTTTTTATTTTCGTGTATTGATTTTGAAAGGATTTGAATTATTGTTGAGCATACGATTGAAAAATAAGTTCAATAGTAAAAATAGAAGAATTGAAAGTACAAAATTTGTAGGTACTCTTTGAGAATATTCGTTGATTTTTGGTTGATGGGCATAAGGTTCTGATACACGCACACCATACACATGAAACATGAAAAATGAAATGAAGTGAAAAAGGATTTTTTAGGAAAACAAAAACGCATAAAAATAAACAAAGAAATAAACAAATAAATCGAAAATAACTGATAAAACAAAAAATAAATGAAAATTTAGGAAAATATTTTTAAGTATTTGTTTTTTTTTTTCCTCTAATATTTTTGGTAAATATTTAGGGTAAAAACTTATTAGGGATTTGTTTCGTACTGTTCTTATTGTTTTTGGGCAAAATAAGATAAAAAAAAAAATTTAGAATTTTTATTATGAAAGCAGGAACTGTATTAGTGGGAGGCAAAAAAAAAGGATAATATCGATGATGTAGAGCAAAGATATGCTAAGTAACAAATTTTTCAAAATGCGTCCTTTACACCAATTTTTCTAATTTCAACTATTTTAGAACGCTGCTTTTTGTGGTATAGGTTTTAGTGATGTACGTGTACTAGTTTGCGAGATCGGTGAGGTTAAATAGTTTAAGTGAAAGGTGGTTTAAGTAGCAAAAAAAAGGCTGTGCTTTCTTAGAATTTAGCAATTAAAAAAACGGATATAACGACAAAACATAAATATGCTAGGTAACTCAGTTTGTATTAACAATTTTAATATTATTATAGTCATTTTATGCTAAGTGCCCTTTTGTACAAAAACCCTAATTTTATTTAAAAAAAACTTATTTGAAGTTAAATTAGTTATAGTGTTATAAGAAAAAACACAAAGAATAAAAATTATAGAATAATATAGCGTTATTCTATTTATCAGGCTTCTTTTCTCAAATTTGCAAACTTGTAGAATGATGCCCTATAAAATTTTAAATTTGTTACTTAGCATATCTTTGCACTTTACCATCGAAATATGGAAGAAATCCTGTAGGAAGAAAAGCTTTTTGACTTTTGATTGACGTCTAGGGAAAAATTTATTTAATTTTTTTTCTTACTTTCATTTCTTTTCATATAGTTCTACTACTACTGCTGTCTGCTACTTTTGATTTGTTTTCCTATCTTATTTTATTACTTAAAGAATTTCAAAATTTTTCGTCCTTATGATAATGATAATGATGATTATAACAATGAAAACTTATTGGTTGTTTTTTTATGTCAGTCAAAAAATCATCACTTTTTATACTATTTTGTTTTATTTTAATGAAATTTTTTCATATTATACACAAAGAAAATGTGATTGAAATTCATATTGAGATCCACTTTAAAAAAATTTTTTTATACAATAAATATAATCTATAATATGAGTAGTAATAATAATAATGATAATAAATAATAATAAAAATAATATTTTGAAATTGGAAGAATTCGTTTTATTTTCCCTTTTTCTTTTTTTTTTCATACCTACTTACTTTTTAATTTGGATAGGCACTTCCCAGAAATTTTGAGAAGATTTCAAACAGTAAAAATTTTTATATGAATTTTAAGAATTTAATAAAATAGAGAGAAAATATTTAGAAATTTCCAAAATTAAAAAATGGAAATGAAAATGAGGAAAATTCGAAAAAGAAAAAGAGAGAAATTTCATTTCGGAAGAAAATATTTCAAATCCTTGAATAACTATAGTCATTTTACAAATTATTTTTATTACTTATCAAATTAATAAGATCAGTTGTTTATAAGAATTACAATTTCAAATTTAAGTGAAAAATAATTATTTGATTTAAAATTTTATAGAAATCAAAAATACTAATTTTTTAAAAGTCGATGGTGAATTTTTGGAAATATTCATTAAAAAAATATTATAGAAAAAATTGTTGAGTGATTTATGACAATTTAATTATTACTGGAAAACTAATCAATTTTTATGCAAGCGTACAAACATAAATAGTAATTTTGCTAGTGATTTGGAAGAAAGTTCTTTTCGTAAGAACTTAGGAGACTCTAAAGAATTTTAAAATTTGCACTCTAGATCTTTGAGTCTTATCGTAAATTCAACATCGTAAATTCTTTTTCCGACGAAAAGACTATTTATTTTAAAAAAATTCTACTTATTTTGTTCCGGAAGATGATTTTGCAAAGTCCACTAGGAGAAAAATCTCCAAGAAATCTTTTTCGTATTGCTATCAAAAAAGAATACGAAAAATATCTAAAAGTAGTTATCCAACACAATCGTATGGTACATCGTCAAAAACCAACTGTTATCTTATTAAGCATAGACCAGCCTTTTCCTGAGTAAATCTCTAAAATGAAATCAAAATTAAAATCATATTTCATAATATTTTCAACTTGTTGTTGAATTCTTCAGCTGTAGATAATTTTATAACATTTCTCTCAATTTCTATATTAAAAATAAAATTTCCCAAAAAATTTTGTGAATATTTTCTTTTCAATTGTTTTCATTTTAAGTTTTTAATTTAACTGCAATTTTACGTGAATAAAAGTAAACAGTTTTGACAAAAATTTCTAATCAACTTAAAAAATTAACAAATCCAATTGTTTTTTTATTTGTTGTACATATGTATGTACACATTTGAAATTCGACAAAAATATATGATCAATACTTAGAAATTGCTATACCACAAGAAAATTCCAAAAAAAAGCCCTTTTCAAGTGTAATTACAAACAAATTAATATTTCGGGTTTTTGTTATTTTAGGAGAGAACTTTGAACTCTAGGTTCGAATTTTGTACTTTAAATAAAAATTTTTATTTGAAAATACTCTACAAGAAAAAATAAAATTTTATAAATCAATAAAGCCAATAAAAACAAAAGAAGAAAACAAAAATTTATTAAAAGACTTGAAAAAGTTAAAAGCTCAGGAGTCACATTTGCTTTATTATACCTCTATGAACGTATGTACGTAAGGTATTATAAATTTATTTTATCGTTTGTAATGCTATATTATAAGAAATAATGGTTTGAGATATAGACATAAGTATATGTTTTTGATTAGCGTTGAATTCAAGGTCGTCTGCGCGTCCATCCCAACGATGATTCAAAAACTCATTCAAGTAAGCTCACCAAATTTTCACAATTAATTCTTAATAGATAATGCCGGAACCATATTTAAATTGGATGTCAATTAAAGCAAGTAGTTCGGCTAGCGGCCCTACAACTTCAAAAGTTATTTAGCTCTATATCTCAGAAATTATTTAAGCTATAAGAAATTTTGCACAAGCAAAATGGTATATATTTTTGGTGATAAGAATCGCTGAAATTTTTTGACTCCTTGTTGTAGCTAACAGACAACTTCAATAGTTATTTGGCCATAACTTAGAAACTTCTAAAAGTATAGTACTGAAATATTACATAAATTAGTATGGTGATACGGCAGGGATTATTTCGGTGCGAAAATATGTTCGAAGGGAATTGTAAATAACGCCAACAGATAACAATACGAATATCACAGAGTTGACATCATCAACTCTTTTTTTCTCGTTTTTTATTTTCAGTTCCTTTTTTTTGCAATTTTTCTTGTTTTCCTTTCAATTGAAAAGAAAAACCTATTAACCGTTATACATTTATTCAACGATTTATTGAATTATTTGCCCATTTACCTAATGGTGGAGTTTGACAGGTGCTTCAACTAAAAATATTGTGATATGAAAAACAAAAAATTCAAACAAAAATTCTATTCTATAAACACCTGAACGGGACGTAACCGTTATTTATTTTACTCTTCTATCAACAAAAATATTGAGTACACAAATTCAATATATTTTTGCACAAGATACACACACATGCAGACACACATTCAAATTAAATGTAAAAATAGGTGATGGCATTGTATTGTATGAGGATTGAAAAGAGAAAAAAAAAAGAGTATAACCCGTTATGTTTAGGTTAATGTGCGGTTTATTTTTCTTATTTTTGCTTTTAAAAAATGTAGGTTTTCTCTCTATTTTTGTTGTTTTTAAATTTTTTTTCAAATACCATTAACAGTTAGGATATATTGAGGTACTTTTTCCCTTTATTTTGTTCGATTACTTTTTATTCAATGTTCAATACAATATTTAAGTTATACCCTCCGGCTCTTACCAAATATAGGTATAATATAATTTAAATCTAATATTTTCGCTTAACAGAAATTTTAGGGGAAACTAACCGATTATGGTGTAATTAAAGAAGCACATTTTCCGTTGTTACCAATAATTATTATTAGAAATAATGGAAAATCTGAATAGGTTAAAGCTTATGATGTGGTGAAAATATGATATTTATAGGCTCAAAACAGATATTGGCAGGAAATGGCCGTTGTTCAGCGTTATAACCTGCTGCCTTATGTGGAAAATTAAAGCTCTATATTTGGAAACTCCTAATTTTTTTAAGTGTTTTTGTTTGGATATAGTGAGTAAAATTTTTTTTCTGTAGTTTTCAACTTACTTCTGTAAATCATATTTATATTGCAAAACATAAGCTAACAGACAGAACAGCTAACTGCCGTTTACTCCAAAACATTACCTTTTTCAAAATTTTTACAAATTTGCTGAAAAAGAGAGAAAAAACAGTCATTTTTGCCTTGTTTGCTTTTAATCGAATCTAAGTAACATTGACAAAACGAAAAACACAAACAAAATAATGGTAAAATCCTTTTGAAAAAGAGAAAAAGAGAAAACGAAAAAAAATGAATTAACCGTTATTTAGTGATTGATTGTTCTCAGGTGGCAGTTTGGGTTGACGTATTTATATGGTGAATTGAAGTATTACAGGGATGATATTGTTTGCTACAACACTCAGCACTTGCATATACATATGCATATAATATATATGAATGTATATTTTTACATGGTATGTCTACTCATATATGAATTCGAAAAACTTATTATATATACAGACATATGTACAATGGTGTAATAAGTTTTAACAAAGAGTGGCGCGACTTTACATTACAATATTTTTGACAATACATTGTTGAAGTATAAATAAAATGGGGAAAAAGAAAAGAAAGCGAAAATAAATATGAATCGCGGAAATTGTAATATGAAATGTTAAAGGAAATACATTATTCCACAATAACCTTTGTTGTTGAAGGTTGTTTTGTAAGTCATCGGTATCATGAAACACGATGGATACAATAAAAGGTGATAAATATATTATCAATTCGTCCGTTTTTAAGGTAAAAATCTTAAGATTCCGAATTCGATCTTCAATTTCTAGTATCTATAATATATTTATTTGTAAAACAAGATTTAAAATTGCAATTGCACAACCCCGGTTCATTGTTAGTAATTTGTATTGCATATTTATTAAGTCTTAATCTCTCCCTTTTGGATCTTATTCTTATTTTCCATTTTATGCTGTTCAAAAATTTCATACAGAACTTGCCATTTGCCAAATTCTGTATGAAATTTTTGAATGATTCTAATCATATACTCAAGCGCTTCCAAACCCGTTGTTTTTTAAAGTCCCGTTATTGTTATGAAAGAAAATAGTACTAAATACGGTAATTTCCATCGTTTTTTCATGAAAATTTTTCATTAATGACCAGGTAACTGGTCATTAAAGGATGCCAATGTTAGTCTGCTTGTATTCGTTGAATAGCTCATTGAAATTTTATAACGTATCCTATAATATTTAGTCGAACAATATACTCAGAGTAAGTACATGCTTGTTCTATAAAGTTGAAGAATTACGGTTTTTTCTGTTTTGATATTTTTTTTAAAAAAGAGTTTAAGTGTTGTTATGTGCAACTAATTTTTTTTTAGCCCCCGACCCCCACTCCATTTGATTTTTGTTTGTAACAATTCTTTTGTCAATTTCATACAATTCATACACATTTAACAAATCCAAAATTACATCAACATGCTATGAAGTACATGCAAATATAACTAGAGATATTTGCAAAAACAGGTATACATTAACATATAAGCACACTTGTGTATAATGTGTATATAAGCACATACGTGTATAGTGAGGGTATAATTTATATAGACGTTATTTATGATTTTCTGAAGTCAATTTTTTTTATTTTTGTTGTGACAGAAAAGGTCTAAGGACAAAAGGACTTTAGGTATTTTGGGAAAAAGGAAGTTTAGGAAAAAAATATCTCATTTTTTTTGTTCAGCTCTTTCTCATCCTTCTCTTTCAAGTTTTTTTTTTCTTTCACACCATCTTAAAATCTTGCTGTTGCTGTTGTCGTGATGTGCAAGATGAAATCTTGTTATGTCAAGCTTTTTCTAATTTTTTTTTCGCAAGGATTCGTTTCCTTTTTTGTTATTTTTTTTTCTTGGAAAAATTTAAAAAAAAGAAATTTTTTTTTTTACTTTTGCTCCGGTAACAATGGATTTCAATTTTTGGATTATAAGGATTTCATTCAACAAAAACCGATTCTATAGTTTGAATAGAAACTTTATGTGTGTGTACTGGTGAATTCGAATTGAATTCTGATTCTGATATGATGACTATGTTACTTTTGGGAATTTTGATCCTAAATTGAGTGTGAAATTCAATTGATTTTCAATGGTTAAAAATTTTGTGTTGTTTTTTGTTGTTTGGTTAATAAATTTTTTTTCTTTGCTCATCCATATTGCATACATTCATTCATAAATGAAGTTTGTTAAGAAAAAAAAAAACTGAAATCTTAAGATGAAGATGACACACAGTATTGTTATTTTGTGATTTAAGTATAGTGGTAATGGTAATAAAAGAAAACAAAAACAATAAAATTTTCAAATAATTGAATTAAAGAAATTTTAAGTTTCTTTTGCTATCGCTGTTTTACTTTCTTTTGATGTTCAAAATTTCAAAAAACTTTATTGACTTTAATTTATTTTGTTAAAGAAAAATAATAATTTTCGATTAAATTTAAAGAATAAAAAATTTTGTGTAATTTTACTTATTAAAAAAATTAATTAATTTTAGCAAGAAAAAAATTAAATTTAACTAAAACTTATTCTTTTTTTACTTTGTTTCTTTTTAGGTATGAGCTTAAAGTGATTTATAATTGCAGAAATGAGTAAGACCCATACTAAATATTTGGTATAACATAATAAAATAGGAGAAAATCAGTTTTATTCACTGAAAAATTTCTTTTTAATTTAAAATTCATTTTTTTTAATTAAAAATTAAATAAAAAAATTATATTGCATATTGAGACCGCTGAAGCAAACTTGTAAGATATTTTAAGGAAACTAAGTAAGTTATTTTAAGGAACTTTAGCAAATCCAAAAAATTTCCTTGTTGGTTTGAAGTATAATTACGAAATGAAAAGTTTAAACTAAAAAAGAATAAAGTATAACAAAATTATCCTAATTTCGACACCACAGACTTTGATAGTGCTTGAAGGTACCCCTCTGTTAGCATCTATATTGTGTCTGAAATGTCTCTAAGAAAGGAACAATGACATCAATTATTCATCCTAATACATTACAAGCATTTTTAAACTATTTTATAATATTCATTTTAGAAATTAAAGTTGATTTTCGGTTGTATTTCGTACACATTGAAGACATTTTCTTTAGTAAATTGGAAACCATACCTGCATGAAATCCAAATGGTCCCGCAGGAGCTTCGTTTATTACATTTGATTACTAAATCTCAGAAACATTTCTTAGGCCTCATTATTTTACAGCATAGAGCCATTCATTAGTTATGTTCCAGTTTCTTTTTTATTACAAATCCTGATTTCGATTATGAAGTCTTAACAATATTTAATGGGTAATATAATTAATTTATAGCTGAAGTGACATTTTACTTTTGTTCCAGTTTTTGTTACAATCTCTGGTTTCGTTTGTAATATTGATTACTTTACGTATACCTAAAATACATAATAGAAACATGTAAAGTCATTAGTAAAATTAAATTTTCTATATAATATTTTCGTATATATGGATGGCTTGTTTTGAAAGTGAGTTCATCATTACTTTGGAAATAAGAGTTTTAAAATAGCAAATGATCAAAGGCAACTTTCAAATTAAACCATCGATATTATCAATAGCTTTATACATACTACGGTTACAACAATTTTTATAATTGAAAGATTACATTTTGTATTTAATTATTTTATTAGATTTAAAATTGTTCCTTCTATATTAAAACTATCCAATATATTTAATTCATTCAGTTTACTTATTTACCTTCAATATTATATTTTAAAATATTTAAATACAAAATATAAATTTTATTTTATGAACATTAAATGTTCAGCATGAATTTACATGAAAACAACTAATAATTTTCAACTCTTTTTAAAAAATTATTCTTAAATTTCTAAAAACAAAACAGTACAATTCTTGTTTTTTAGAATAACAAAATATTTTTTATATACAAATGACAGCGTACACATTTAAAACAAAAAAATAGTCAGTATTGAAAATTTTTAACATTTAATTTATTTATTTATTTTTTCATTCTATTCCATTATTTTATTTATTTTTGTTTTCTATATTCTAAATTGATTATATTAATTCAATTGTTTTCATGTGGCGCCAAATACCCTAACTTTCGAAATTCATTCAATTCAATTGGAAATTTTTCTATATAAAATATGGAATTCATCCCTAAACTTCCATGCTGTTTCATTTAAATTGTTTTTGTTCTTATATCTAGTATTTTTATACATTAATATAGAATTGTACATGATATCCTTTCTTTTATTTTTGTTTTTATTGTGTTATACAAAAATGTACAAAAATATTACAACAGGACGCAATAATATTGTAAAAAATTAAAGAAAGAAGATGAAAAAAAAACGGAAAATACATTGTTGTCCCTTTAAATTTAATATGAAAAAAAAGAGAACAGTTAAAATATTTATTTTATCGTACAGATGGTTAACAGTATTGGAAAGTTTTGAATTTATCGAAATTTTAATTTTATTAACTCGAGAATAAGCCAAACATAAAGTAACAAATGCTTGTCGAAGCAAATATTTCTTATATGTTAAGGAAAGTAATAGTTTATATCTTTGTAGGAAACTTTTTCGCTATGGTTTCTCAAAAAGAAGCCTCATGGATAATTGAAATAATTCAACAGTTTTGAGTAAGTTCCTTGAGGCGCCTTTTTTTCGTCAAGTCCTTAGGCCCCTCTCACGTAATAGGATATTTTGTGATTCCCATCATCACCTACATTAGCACTATATTTAGGTCCCTGGCAAATAGCAATATGGCAGCCACTTGAAGTCATAAGGCTTGCACCGAGGTGACCCTTCCGAAGCATCTCAGTCGTAAGCGAGCCACCAGCTTGCATTCACACATTAAAAGCCCCACCGTTTCGTCTTTGACTTCTTTATCTCACGCTTCAGGCGCCTTGAATAACGATTAGATTTAGCTTGGGGATTTCTAAGTCAACATTTTCAATCAAAAAGCAAATTCGAAAACTTCGAAAGAATTCAGTTTAGATTATGTTAAAATAAGGTTCCATGTTCGTTTCAAACTTCGCAGTAGATTTCGAGAATGTAAAAGATTTTCAACTTTTATACGGAAACAAAATTTGCCAAATACCTTTATCAGAACCAAATATTATAAAAGACAGCAATATTCTTAATACTTTAGCATATTCCAATCACAATTTTTTTTTATTTCATTTAAGAAATATTTAAATTTACCATACAAAAAATAAAATTTTATGGCCTATGCATGTCCGATGAACTGAAATGAATAAAAATAAAAAACAATAAAATAAAACTCATTATTAAAATTTAAACGCAAATATAGAGAAGAAATAGAGGAAAAACCTTAGCACAAACATAAAAAAAGAGAACAAAAGAAAACAAATAAAATGCGATCGTCATAAGAAATGGAAGGAAATTATTGTTGAAAACCATTTCCCTAATATCCCGAAATTCAATTTAAAAAATTTAGAGAAAAAATAAAATAAAAGCTTAAGTCTTATAGCATTAAAAAAAAATATTTGGTTTTTTTTTGTATTACCGGCCCTAATCTGCAAAATGTTGTATTTTAAAACAAATAAAAACGAAAAAAAAACTATAAAAATAAGATGAAAACCTTTAATCAGTCTTCAAGCTTTTTCTTTTTTTTTTTATTTTTATGAGGGGCGCCAAAGTTTCAACCTACTTGGTATATGATGGCGGGTTAGTGTGGGTGGTGTCCTTTTAATGTTTTTGGTGGTGCTGTTTGGGTTTGTTCAAATTATTGTTGGTACATGAAACAAGAAGAGTACATAAGAGAATAAACTACGAAAAAATATTTGGGTTTCCGATTTTCTTTTCTTTTTTTTTGTTAAAAGAAAAAGGCTATTAAAAGGGAAAAAAATATTGGACTTGAAGAATGTCATCTCATAAAAATATCTTAATGTATAAAAATATATTTGCTATTCTAAAATATTTTTTTTTTGTTTATAAACATTCTTTTTATGTTTTTAAACACGAAAGAAAATAAAAAACAAAAAAAAATTGAATAAACGCGGATGTCCATGAAATAAGATCATACGGAATAACAAAAAAAAGGCGAAGTTCAAACGATCGAATGGAAACAATAAATGCATTTATAATTTAAAATCACTAACAATTCTGTAACTCAATTAGAAAACTACCCGACAAGAAGCAGTAAGTTAAAGTCAATTTAACAAGAAAGATTTTTTATCAAAATATTGACCTTTTTCGATGTAGTTACATAGTAACTAAATTAGGCTATTTGAAGTTGGGGAAAAATCTCACTTAAAAACCTCGTTTTCTATCTATTTTTTCTGTCCTGGAATATTGTTGAATATTCCCAGAAATACTCTTAAGAATGCACCTACATTTACAGTGCTATATTCAAAAATTTATCTACCAAGCTTAGAATTTTTAAGAATGACATAATTAATTATTGAATATGCAAAACTCCGACAACTTGCAAAACCCCAACAACTTACCTATGAAAATAACTTAATTGAACTTAAAATTACATAACTCAAAGTTCATGGAAGCTTTGTCTTTGAAGTACATACTAATACAAATGTGACGATATTTTCATGCAAACTGTACATATTCTTAAATTAGACTGCCCACAATAGAGGACAATGTATTTTAAAATATTCTACATTAAATAACATTTCAAATTATGATGTCCTCTTTACTAAACTATTTTTGAAATTCTACAGCATGTCATGAAACGAAAAAAAATTATAAAAAAGAAGATTATGCCAAGAGAACTTTATTTTTTTATATAATTTACATTCTAAACTAGGTACTTAAAATTCTTGAATATTAGAAAAGAAAAATAAATGAAAATTTTCGACATCTTTTCGTTATTACAAATTCATTACCACCTTTTTTTTTCTTAAATAAAGTAGTCGTTCAAAAACTAACATTTATAAATTCCGTAATTCTTGCCTTTTTTCTCTCTCTTATAGAAAACTACAAAAAACAAGATAAATAAAGATAATATACTTAAGTAAAATATTCACGCACTTAAAGTGTATCCTTTTTCGTTTCAATAAATATTAAAGCAGACCCTCTCTCTATACAAATTGCAAGCAGGATATAGGCATTAAAAATGAAGAGTATAGGATTTTTTCTTGTTTTTCTTTCCTTCCAATAAAAATTATTGTTATGTCCTTCTGCTTTTTTTTTTCTCTAAAAACTCCTTCAATCGGTTCTCGTAATACATTTTGTATATATGAAATGGTTTGTATGTTTAAAAAATATTGTATATTTTTTAAAGATTTACAAGTATAGAAATACCCAAAAGTCCTTTAAATGGGACACAAAGAAAAAAAAAATTTTTTTTTTACATTTTATATAAATTAAGATAAAACAAAATATTAAGAAGTAAAAAACCGAGAAAAAGGACGAAGCTTATTTGTTGTATTTTTTTTTTATTATTTTGTGTTTCTTTATCATTAATATTTAAACAAATTTGTTTAAAACTTGTTAAATTTAAAGCTGTTTAAGACTAACTGTAGGATAGAAATTTTAATTTAAACTAGAACATTGTCTAATAATTAGCATGTATCACCAAAAACTTGATAAGAAAAAGAAAATAATGGTTACCAATCATAGAATCATCGAAGATTATCAAGCGCAAAAACCAAAGAAAATCGAATTGCACATAGTTCTGAACAGTTATATTCCGATAATCTCATATAATTTGCTATAACTTCTAATATTTGCACAATATATCTTATTATTTCAAACTGCATATTAAATTATTCCAATCTGCAATATACACTCGATATTGCAGATTGGACCGATGATACATCGCTACCTAATAGTTGTGTTGTGGTCCTCATGAGCGCCCCTCATCTAGAGCGCCCCTTCGACACCTACATTTCTGATGAATCTGAACAACTTTTCCGAAAAAATATACCTAAACGACATGCCCAACAGCGACATGCATTACACGGTATAATTACAAAGCCCCCAAGCGCATATTTAAATTATTTAATGGAAAAAATTGCTAATTAAAATTTTAACCTTATTTCATTAAGTACAACAATCCATAAAACGCAATCAATACATTTTATAATAAAATTTAGCAATATCGATTAAGGTCCTTTTCCATTAGTTATCATGAACGTAATTGCAATACCAATACATTATTCTTTAACTTCAATAAGAAAAACCATTTTGAAAGTATAGAATTCTAGAAAATAAAATAATTTTAAAAAATTTAAGTATTTTAAAACATTCTCGGTTTAAAACCTTTAAAGGAAGAGTAATGAAATTAGGATATTTTCTAAAGGGTATTTGGCAAAAAAAAACATTCAAAAAGATTTATGTATAATACTTGTATAACAGAAAGAATGAATTAGTAATACACGAGTATTTTATTCTTTCACCAAAAATAAGACAAAAAGAAAAAGAAAACTAAACCTTAGAGACCTTCAACAAAACAGAACGAAAAAAAAAGGCACAAGTAAAATTAAATTCTAGTAGAAAGAAATTCTAAACAATTTCAGGCCGCGGTAAAAATATTTTCGTCCTTTATTCTTTTTTTTTTATTTTATTTTTGATCATTTGTGTCTGATTTCCTTTTTTTTTCTCTTTTTTTTTTTTTGATGAAAAGTTCATTAAAGGGTTAAGTTGGACAATAAATTTTTTTTAACAACATTTTCTCATAATTAAATTGAAAGAAAAACCAATTTAAATTTCAAATATATAAAACATGAAAATGTAGTAAGAAAGGGAGGTGATAAGAGACAAAAGCACCTAAGTAAATCATTATTTTTCATTCCTTATTTCTACAAACCATTCGTTTTCGTCCTGTCCATTCATTCGCAAGTATTAATACAAAAAAAATTAAATATTAAAAATGACCGAAACTTATTAAAAGAATAAAGATTTGGTGAAAAATTCCTTTACTATATTAAAACCTAAAATTTTTTACAGTAAATTTAATCCACAAGTGGTTCTTAATTTAAAGGTTTTAAAAGAAAATTTCCTTTAAACCAAATTCCTACATCCTAATCACATTCCCATCATCATTCTACATTTTCTTCTTTTTTTGTTTTTCTAACCTGGTTCTATATACAAAGAATAAAACTCAATTTTACTTAAAAGTTATTATACGGATCAGTATTTTAAATTAGAGGTGGATTTTTGTTATTTTTTCGTTAAATCGAGGTAGGACAAAATAATTAAAAATAAGGAAGAGAAAAGAAACAAACAAACAAATTCAGGAAAATGCAAAAAAAAAAAGCTAATTTTTCATTTAGAAAGAAAAAAAACATAAGAACAACCTCTTTGATGTGAAAACTTCAAGGTTGAATTATAGAAAATTTATGGCTAAATTAAATATTAAAAGGAGATAGAGAAAAGGACAGAAAATTTATTTAGAAATTTATATTTGGCTTTTTGATTTAAGGACAACAAAAAAAAGCATTTTATTTTAGGCTTTTGAAATTTTATTTTCTTATGGTTGTGCTCGCGTATTTACACGAGAATTTACACAAGCATTAAAAAGAAAAACAAAAAATAAATAAATATAATTAAGTGAAAAGGATTTTTTTCCGGTAACTTTATTATAAGACTTTTATAGTAGATATTTAAGTTTATTTTATTCCTTAGTTTACTTTAATGTTTTTTAAAATTAATGTTTGAATAAAATAAGAAAAAGTATAGGGATTTTAATTTGTTGCCGTCATAATTGAAAGAGAGTGTTTGTTTTTTTTCTTTAGATTCCCTACAAAAAATATAAAAATGAAATAGAAAAGTAAATATGTAATTAGGAATTTTCTAAAAGGATTTTTGTGTATTTAATTTCTAATTAGTGTAAAAAAGTATAATAAATTTCTTTAATAGAGAAGAATTTAAAGAATTCGAATTTCGGTCTAATTCAGAATGTAATTGTGTATTAGGAAATTGCAATTGTGTGAAATAAAATGCCAACTATGGGCGATAAAATGGGAAATGCCTAACATTTCTTAATCACTGTTTTATACTTAAATTATTATTAAATATTGTTAATATTTCACAGAGCATATATATATAAATGATTTAATTGAAAAGATTTTATTAAAGTTATTAAAAGAAGCTTAGTTGTAAAAGTATTTTAAATGGCAAAAAATTTTTTCAAAAAATTAATCATAATTATTAAATTTTACATGTTCATTTCCCATAATTGGTTATTACCATAAAATCACTTAGCTCAGCAATTTCTACAAAAAATTAACATTGAATATCGAATATATATTTATTGCTACAAATAATTCTTTGAACAAATTTATTGGAATTTCAAATGTAATAAAAGTTTTAGTCGAAAATCTTAAGCTTACTTGAGCCTCCTCGGTGATGATATTTCTTCTGTGAAATTTAATCCTTTTTATCGCATCTGTTGTTTATATAATTTAGTGTTTAACACCTAAATTCATGCACCTAAAATAGAATTTAAATTAAATGTTATTCATATTTCAACATCATATTTAAAGATATTTGGCATTGATACACATTACTTCTTAAATATGAATTAAATTCTAAAAAATTTTAATTACTTTTTAGCAATAAAATAATATTTACTTAACAATTCAATTTGAAATTAAATTTTCCAAAACAAAAGTATTTTTCCATTAATTTTAAAAAATATTTTTGATTCCATTTTCTTAATTATTTTCTCATTATTCTTGCTTTTTTCACATTAGTTAAATTAAAATTTATTGAATAACTACCAAGAAACAAAACAAAACTAAACTAGCTTCAATTACAATTTCAAAAAATTGCGAAAAAAATGTAAAAGGTAAAAATAAAATGAACTTTTAAGCGAAATTTCTCTATTATTTTAAAATAATCTCTTATCCATTTCAAATCCTTCATTAATTATTAAAATGCAGAAACATAAACATTCAATTGAAATTTTTTTAACCTTTATCCAAACATAAAAAAATTTAAAATTATTTTATTCCTTGCGTTTTTTTCCCAAAGAAAAAACTAATAGCATCCTATACTTTTACCAATAATGTTACATGAGTTCAAAAAAGAAGAGTTGATTAAATTTTGAGAAAACATTATCGTTAAACTTAATATTCTTAATATGAGCCCATTTAATATTCTATAAAAGCTTTCTTCAAAAATAAAACAATTTTCAATTTTCGATAAAGATGAACTCCACTCTCTAGAATACAACTACATAAAATTTTTACAATGAATAATTAATTAGAATTCCGTGCTTTACATCCTTAATTTCTTACAATGTCAAAAAAGGTTATGTTTTTCTTTTAAAAAAATTTATTTTACTTTTATAACCCATTAACTCTCATTGATAATAAAATTGAGGTAAAAGATATTTAAAGAACTTCCGCCGTTTTTAAAAATCCACAAAAAAAAAAGAAGCAAAATAATATTAATTAAAATCAAGGATAAAATCAAAAAGATATTCACGCCATTTTATATACAAATTTATTAAATGCTCTCCACCATAGCACTTTTGTTTCACGTTGGTACCGGTTTCAGTTTTATAATTTTTCTCATCCTGTTCAGATAACATATACTTGTTGACAATGAGAATTGGGAGTATTGATTTTAAACAGATGCTAGGTGAATGGAAAAATCAAGAAATATTTGGAACAATGAAAATAGTTGGATAGAATTCTGATTTTCCATAATTATAAATATAAAAAATTATTAATCTTCGAAATCCCTCAAATCTAGGACTCAAAATGAAAATCTAGAATGCAGTTGCATTAAAAATTTTTTTTAATTGTTTAGTTATCAGATTCCTTTTAACTTTAAAGTGCTTCAACAAACTCACAATTCAGCAAGCATAAATTATTAACAAAGAGCTTAAATGAATGTTGAGAAAAAATCAATTATTTTTTGAGTACTCTCATATAATTTTTATTACACTAATCGGAACATTTGAGTCTAACATCTGACTTGCTCTTTTTTTAAATTTCTTTTTTTCTTGGTCTTTGTGGCATTAATTTTATTGAAAAGACGCCGCGACATCAAATCTTGGAGTAACTCATAAATATTAATATTAAATAAACTCTTACAATATGAACTTGCTTGTTATATCCTTTTACAATTTGGTATATGGTAGTCTGAATAACAATCTTCATATACTCTGATAATACAATCAATAAGTACAAATATATGTATATAGAAAAAGTAATAAATATTTATGTACGTTTTAAAATCATGATATTAAATTTCACTTAAATCCAGTTGGGACCAATATAATTTGTTATACAAGTATACAAATGAATTGATTAAGTTCCTTTGGAAAATACGGTTAATTCTTTATTTCTTTCTTGGTTTTAAAAGGAAAGGATTTCTTATGTGCCTGTTATACTTTTTTTCTCCTATACACAAAGTACATAGTTATATAAAAAGGGAAAGTGTTCAAAATTGAAATCCTTTAAGGAGGCAGAAAAAAATACTTTTTACAAGGTATTAAACAATAATACCTAAGAGCAAACTGGTATATTCGTTTTAAACCTAATGGTTACATTAAATGAAATAAAGCTGATAAGTTTAAGCAAAAAATAATAAGGAAAAAATGGTTAGTAAATTTTCTAAAAAGTTAAAATAAACAAAAGTAAAAAGAAAATACAAAACATAATTGATGGCAAATCTATACTTGTGCCTATTTGTTGAGCCTAAATTATCTGATGTTGAAAGAATTGAATGGCGTTAAGAAATTTTACACTGAAATTTTAAATCTTGGTATAAATATATGTTTTACGCGTTGTGGACCGGTGCAATTTCAACGATTGGAACCCAACTTGCTGACAAATCTCAGTATTTTTTGTAGTCTAAAATCACTGTAAATTTTTTAAAGTCTAAAAATCCCGGGCAGCTCTTCCTTTAATTTGACTGGGTTAATCTTTTCTTTAAATTTAACACTTATCATTCAATTTCTCTGTTTGAAATATGAAAATTCCAATTTTTTTAAAAGTCCATCTCCTAAAAAATAATTATAAAATTGTGAATATTTTATTCTATCAAAATGTATTTTAGTTTTAACTAGTTAAATTCTTTCTCTTACAATTTATACAAAATAAACACATGGTAGTCCTAATTTATTTTTTATATTGCATATTAAGCGCAAAACCAATCTTTATTATTTATATGTTACTCGAGTACATAAAATAATTTTGACAACCAATCAATTTATATCGAATAAAATCGTGTGCCATTAATTAATTTAAATGAACTTTAATAAAATATTAATTTGTCATTATTGTTTTACTTTATCTGTTTTAAATGGTTTGAGTTTTGTATTATTTTGGTATTTTACAATGCATATATACTATTTTAACTTTGGTGTTTTTTTGTTGTATATTATGATTTTGTTTGTAAATATGTCAATTAATTTCTCAAATCAATTTTAATTATCACATTCCATTTTAATTAAAATATCATTAAATTAAGTTTTATTAAAAGCCAAGCTTTACACAAATATATTTTGATTTTTTGCCCTTAACTAATTTGACATTGTAGTTCATAGCATAATATGTCAAGAGTGTTGATAAAAAAAAAAAAAAAAACCAACTGATAATGAATAACACAAACACCACAACAATGGAAAAATTATAACATATGACGCAATTCTGAATATCATTTTTGCCTTGTTAATGAACTTTACAGGTTTTATAATGGTTGTTTGTTACTGCAACCAAACAGTAAAACAAAAAAAAAATATAAAATTATGTAATGAATACAACAAAATCATTTTTAAATTATTCATTCATTTACCATAGAAATATGCTAATGAGTCTTCAATAGTGTTGTCACTAGTATCAGGAACTTTTCCGTTTGATTTAAACTCACTTTATTATTCCTCGAAATACTAGGCTTTTGAGTAAAACTCCACCGAGCGAAAGTAAATAGTAGTAACTCATAGTAATTAAAAGTAAAAGGAAGACAACGATCAAAGCAATTTAATAATGATTTTGATATTAAATGAATAATTATTTAGGTTTTGTTAGTTCACCCAAAGCCACTAATTTCAATTTAAGAAATTTTCTTTAATATGTCAAATAGTGCGTTTTAAGTTCTATTCTATTAAAATTCCTTGCTCTCCAGACAAGTCCAAAAATTTAAGATAAAAAAATAAAAATAAGCAAGTATAAAACATCAAAAAGTTCATCCTAAATCCCCACCTTTAACAATAAATTTTATTATTATTTTTTTGCTTTTTTTCTCCTAAATAGGTAAGAGAAAATTTATATTTTACATTATACATATGGGTAGGTAGGTACTTTCACATAGTATTTAAAAGGTAAGTAACGTTGAAAAGTGTGTTTATAAAAGGTCAATATTGTTTTATAAATTTTAGGTCTCCCTTTCCTCTTATTCTACCATGACTTTCGCTATTATATAATTTAATAAATTTATTCTATAACCACTTTTTTAGGTTAAAATAATCATAAAAAACTAAAAAAATAATATAGAAGTATATGTGAAGACCCGAAGTAATAGTAACAACATTTAGCAAGCATAGAAGAAAAAAAAATTTAAGAAAAGAAACTTTGCTAAGCATAAAAGTGAAAAAATAAAGGATGTTTTTAGACTATAAGTTGTGTGGTTTGTTGTTTCATTGTTTTTAGCACTTTTCCAAAAAATTTTTGAAAAAAAGTGCTTATTAGTTTCACTCTGTCCGTCCGTCCGTCCGTCCGTCCGTCCGTCCGTCCGTCCGACCGTCCGTCCGTCCGTCCGTCCGTCCGACCGACCGTCCGTCCGTCCGTCCGTCCGTCCGTCCGTCCGTCCGTCCGTCCGTCCGTCCGTCCGTCCGTCCGTCCGTCCGTCCGTGTGTCTGTTTACAAAACTTCTACACCGTTGAAGATAGAAAGCTGAAATTTTGTACGTACATAGATCTTTACTAGAAACTTATTTCCATAGAACAAAATTTTTACCTATCTCCCCCCCTCTAGAAGTTATACCCCCCCAAAACCCTAAAAACGGCCTTTTTTAACTATTTGTTGCAATGAAACCATAAGCATTTTTGAAATTTTGTAAACGCAGAAAGACAATGGCTTGCTTCCTCTAGCACGGTATACTATAGCTAAACTTTAGAAAAACAAAATGGCCGTTCAAATTTACCGTTATCTAAAGTCTTTTTTTTCCAAATTTTTGATTTCGTTTTTCTTCTAGACCCCAGCCTGTAGAAGCTTGAAATTTTAGGGCCTTTTAGACATTACCAAATAGTTCATTTCGTTAGAAGAAAATTTTTTTCCATCTCCGCCCCCTTTCAAGTTATCGCCCCTTGAAATTTGTAAAATTTGAATTTTTGACACCCTATATTTCCGAAACCGCAAGCTTTTTCAAATGTCTATAAACGCTAAAAGTTAACGGTAAATTCCATGACATTAAAAAATATAATTATTTTTCTTAACTCACACATTTAAACCTTAAAATCGAGCATTATGTTAACCCCTCTTTATATTATTTTTGCTCTATTTCAAATACTGCATAAATCGTTCATCCTAAATATATGCAATCCCAGAAATAGTTTTGTATATGAATGAAAAAAATTTTAATAGTGTGATAGGTATACATAGACTGTATTTAAAAACAGAATTTTCACTTGTCGAAGGGAAAAGTGCTACAATACAAACCATTGGTTTGACCCAACTTTATTAGTTTTTGATTCTGTTTTTTGAATAAAATTTTCATTCATTTTTGGTTGTTTTTTTTTGCTTTAAAATAGGTAGTAAAATAAAAGAAAAATAACCTTTATACAGAATCTTTTAGGATCTGATCCTTAAGACGATTTATATACAAATTTTTGTAAATGATTTTTACACGTACAGTAAACTCTAAGATTTGCAGTGCAACAAAACAAAAGCAGCCTCAGTTCTTCTTTTCACATTCTCCTTCACGGCGAATTGCAGATATTTAGTAATAAAAAATGGTTGTTGCCAATTTATTTACCGCATGTATAAATTGAGATTGGTTGCGAATTATTTGTATTGTTTTTGAAAAAAAAAACTGAAATAATATCTTCTACTGTATGTGGTTCGCAGTCACAAAAATTCCCTTGCAGATATTCCTCTGATCAGGACTTCTAAGAATTTAAACAGATTTTCGACTTTATGCCAACCAATGGGTTTAAAAAGACCTTTTAGCCCGGTATTGACCATACTATTGAATCTTATGTATTGCAGCACAAAGTATCAAACATCCAAAATTGAAAAACAAATTTTCCAGTAAAAGATGACCTTAAGGAAGTAGATTTTTCTAATATCATAATTTGATTATTATTTGGAAAGAAGCTTATATTACTTGAATTTCACTGTTTACTTTACACATTCGTTTAAGAAAAATATTTTCTATTTTTTGCTTAAAATATTGCAAAATAAGGATGAAAAATTCGAAAACTAAATAAAAATGTTAAAAATAGAGATTTTAATTAAATTAGAGAGTAGGTTTGAATTGAATTGCCTAAACATAAAGCTAAATAGACACGTAAGATCCTTAAAATGAATCAATATATTGATAGAATTATTAAATTTAGAACACCTTACAAAAATAAAAATTTATAGAGGAAAAAGATATATTCTTTAAATATTTGAAGAGATATAATTTTAAAATTTATCAAATTTTTAAATATTACCTCTTTAATTTTTAATTTTTTTAGTTAAACTTATTCAACTGAAATTTTGCAAATATATGAAGAAAATTTTTACAAACTTTATTTTAAAGTTGAGGTTTTAGATTCGTTCATATTACCTTAAATTAATTTGGACAATTACAATGGATATTATTGGTAAAATTTCGCAATTGTTTTAATAACTTAAAAGATACATTAAATTTTGAAAGCTAGTGTATATTAAATTAAAAGTGCTACATACAGTCCTTCTGCTGGGTATTCTTCAGTCATCTTAAAATCATATGCATCTATTTATTATTCATGAAATTACGTCGCACAATAATTATGCAGTGGGGCCTGCATTGAAGTTTTTTTCTTAAAATTCATTTAGTTATTCTACGCTAGTATTAGTATTTAAAATTATTAAAGCCAAATTTCTTTGTATTACGAAACGATAATGAAGCTATGTGGGCTTTTCTTCAATTCATGTGTTTTTCATTATTTATGGTAAGTGTAAGTAACTTTAATCTGTTTGGTTTGTTCCAAAATTGCCTAAAAAGAAAAAAAGAAAAATTTTTTAATCTTCTAATATTATAATTAAAAACTCAAAATTTCGAAATTTTTCTTTCATTATTTTATTGAAGGATGCTTAAAAACTATAATTTTTATTTTTCTAAAAAAAAATATAAACAAAATTTCTCCCCATATATCCCTGTCCCCACCAATTTCTTACATACTTTTTTCTTGACTATATAATTTTTTAATTTTATTCCCTATTTTCCTCAATTTATTACTTAAAAGTTTCCTTTTTTTTACACAGAAAAAATATAAGGATATTGCAAAAATTATTTCCTTTTTCTTTTGAGTGCCGTAAAAAAAATTCTTGCTTAGCTACATATCTCAAAATATGAACCATATTTACGAAAAATAAAAGTAATTTCTTCTATTTTTCCCATACTCCCGTAAATTCATCCTTTCTATTCTACACCTGTACTTATGTTGAACCTGTAAATATAACGAGTAACAGTGCATCCTTAAAGTTTATAATTGAGTATCTTTTTAAAAAAAAAATAGTATAAAATTATATTACAGCAAGGAATGTTTACGTTCACATTTATTTATTTTTATATGTTGAATATTATAAGGTAAATATTATCCTTAAAACCTCAGCATATTCACATTAAAATCTAAACTTACAACTACACTAAAAAAAACTAGTAGATCTCAATTTATTATGTCTAGAAAAATAAAAGAAAATTTTGCTGAAAAAAAAGTAAAAGAAATCATCGTAATTATATGAAAAGGATATAATAACGGAAGGATAAAGAAAAGGAAGGCTTTTGTTAAAGTTTTTAATTCTCTGATTTTTCCTTTTAAGAAGATGCGTTTTCGAAAAGCAAAATAAAAGAAAATTTAATTCTGTATCCAACCTTATAAGAAATTCAATTCGACTGCTCTACTTATCCTCTACTTTTCTATTTTCTTTAAGGATATGATTTTTTTCCGGTTTTATGAGAGAAATTGGGGTTTAAAATAAGTAAAGGAATGCAAAAAAAATTTTAAGAAATTCGTAAAAAAAATTTTTTGTGTTACCTTTTTCCTTTATGGATTCAAGAGTTTCTGCAAACAAAAAAAAATATTTTTTTTTAATTTTTATAGTACTCGTATATTGGGCGCGATGATTGCATTGTTAGGCAAAATATTATTGAAATTTTTATGATTTTATTGTAATAATTGATTTAAATTGTGCTTCAGAAAAATAATCAGATTTTATTTTAGTGATTTTCTCTTTTTCCATTTTCCGGAAAAATTAATAATTGAATTTAAAATAAAATATACCTATAGATGTTAATCACAACTTTGAATTTGTTTATAAAATCATAACAGTCTTTTAAAGAAAAAGTTAAATTAACAGTTTCAGAGAATAAGCTTTAAGTGATACACTCTGACTATAACTATAAAAAAATCTTAATATATATTTATAAATTTAAGATTGAAATATTTGACGAAAATCCACAAGTGAATAGAATGGAATTAAAGCAAATTCAATCCAACTTTATAGTGGTAATTACGATAGTTTAGAATTTTTAATTCATAAGGTTAGAAAATTCTTATTAGATTTTTAAAAAATTCCCATTGCTTTCTAAATTCTAAAGTATGATCAATGAAACCGTCTAAAAACAATGTATTGTACTCAATAAATCTTAAGACGATCACAAAATTGAATAATCTATCATAACCATTTTTGACCCATTTCATGCAAATACCAATATTCTTCTTTCTTATAGTTATAAGAAAAACATTAATATTCTTTGGAAAATTGAAGAAACAAAATTGCATTTTCTATACCATTTTTGTGCTTATAAAATGAAAATTTTGAATTTCAGTTCCTTTGATTCCTCAAAAGTTATAGTTTTTATTTATCTATACCTAAATTATACTAGATATATATATCTACTATTTATTAATTGATTGCTTTTGAATTTCATATATTTACAATAAATAAAATTCAATGTTGAAAAATGCAGCAGAAAAGCTACAGACAAAAAATATATAAAATAAATCTTTGAATATTTTGTAAATTATCCCAATGAATCCTATTTGTAGCATTTTCATAAATGTTATATGTATATATGAATTCATTCTTTTGGATATTATATTTTTTGTTAGTTTATTTTAATGGTTCTCTTTTTTGATGAAACTTTTCCGGAAAATTCAAAAATTATTATACAATTTTTCTATACGAAGATTTACAATAAAAAAATAAAAATAAAAATATTGAAATATATTATGAATTTTCCAATATCTGAAAAAAAAAGAAAGAGGAAAAAGAAAATCCATTGAATATTCTGAGCGTTTTTCATTTTTCATTCCCTCCTCTTTATTTTTTTTTTCATTTTCCTGCTTCCTTGCATTTCAGTATTTTTTTTCCTCTCATTTTTCAAGTTAATTTTTTTTTTTGTATATTGAGTTAAAAAATAATATTAAATCGTATAATACTTGCTTTATAAATAACAAATATAATAAAAATAACAATAGTGGAAAAAAAATAATATTATACTTTTTTTTGTAGGAAACCAAAAGGATTTTCTAGGATTTTACTGATTGAAATTTTTTAAAAATTAAAAAAAAAAGAAATAAATATAGTGTGCGCCTATATAAATATTTAATCATACTCGAATACAAAAAAAAGTTAATCAGTATGATACAGAGGCAAAAACTGATTATTAAAATAATGGATTTTGGAAAATTAAAAGATGAAATTAGAAAATTTAATGAGAATTTAAAAAAAAATGATCAAAAGCATCATATTCAGGCACTATGGTAATGAGAAATGAGGAAAAGAAAATGATTTTTTTTGTAATTTTAGTCCAAAACAAATTTCTTTCTACAAAATAATCAAAGAACATTCATTTTGCTTTTAGATTTTCAGTTTAAGAAATTATATTTATAATAATGTACTATGGAAGTATATCGACAAAAGATGAAATCTTCTAATTGCTAGGACCATGACAAATAGACTCAATATTGCGGAGACTTATAATAAACTTCGTCAAAGTATTGCGGTGTTAAATGGATTTAGAAATTTGTTAGTAACAAAATTGTTTTTAGCTCGAATGCGAAAATCTTTTGCATTAAATATGAAAAATACATTTAAAATATCCATTATCTAACATAAGCAATATTCGATGCCACAACATTTAGTTCAAGGATGTATTCAATCTAATATCTTAACATAATTGGTTATTTTCGTTCATCTAACTGTAATAATATTGGAAACATGCTAAACAGCTTAGAATTAAGAGTGATAATAAATAATAAAATATAAGTTTCTGAGTAGTTTAAAAAATTTTTTCTGCTAGAAAAGTTCAAATATCTTTTGCTTAAATACTTTAACGTAATTGATTGTTATCTGACAATAATTTTAGTTGCTTGCGTTCCATATTCACGTATCTAACGATTATAATATTGGAAACTTAAGTTTTTCTAGATTGCATGAGATAATGTCATCTGGTTTTCGTGAAAAAATAACCTGAAAATAAGTGACAATAATGAAAATAAATTTTTTTTTTAGAATTTTTCACATCTTACTACTGTTATAGGAAACAAAAGAACAAAAAAACATTTTTCCAAATCATTTTTTTTTTTAATGAATAACATTAAATGAAAATTTAATTAAAATCCACTAATCTTTTTTGGAATTTTTTTGTTTAAAAATTTGGTCATTTTCTATAACTTTTTTTTTATTTTGTGTGTAGTCAATCTTTAACAGTGACTCTCAAACATTATTGTTTTCAAACTTTTTTCTGCAAAAGGAAAAAAGTAAAACCAACTACTGTCATTTGCACAGAAAGCAAGGAGTTGTATACCCTCAAATTAACACGAAAAGAATAAGTTAAATTGGACATTACTAACTGATATCTTAGTGAAAAGCTCATTCTAATCAAGAATAACATGGAAGAGCCCATTTTGCAAAATGCTAATTATTTAACGTTATTCTCTGGAATCATAGTAAGTATTTAGGTTGTTCACTGATGTGACTCCACCATAGGAGCCGTCATGTTTAAACAGATCTCAAGAATTCGTTAGAACATAATCATTAAATTGTCATTTTGTGAAAAATTTCAATATTTCCAGTTATCTCATACTTATTATCTTTCATCTCAACTGAAATCCGTTTTTTTAAGTAAAATAATACTTAACACATCATTCAAATACAAAATGATCTCAATTCAAGTATATTAATATAAAATTTTTTAGTATGTTATATTTTCTGTATTGAAGAATACGATTCCTTTTGTCTTACATAGATTACCCGATATTTTTAAAATCACTGATTTACAACCTACAAAAAAAAATAAATTTATTTTCATTTTATATTATTAATGTATTGTCCGCATATAGTACGTGTTGAAAAGCGTGTTAAATCCGATTAAATTGCGATAATTTTCAGTTTGATTTCTTTTTTTCCTTGCTTTTTGTTTTTTAGATTTAAAATCAATGGATAGGAATTTTTTTCATTTATTGTTTAATGCGAAATCATCAATTTTTCTAAATTCAATTTCGATCAAAATTGAAATTAATACCCTTTTATTCTGTTGGTGATGGTGGTAGTTAGTGGTAGTGATGGTAGTCAATTGTGTTGGTTGTGGTGATGGGGTAAATAGTTAAAGAATTTTTACAGTGTTTTTGATTATTTTTTTCTTTATCAAATTTAGACGCACAGGGGGAAGCAACAATAAAAAAAACTGAATGTTCTCAAAAGATTTTTTTTTACAAAATAAAAAATCTTACCCCCATGCCGTTTTTTGTAAATGCAATTTTAATGATAAAAAATGGAATGAAAAACAATAATTGTACACTTATTGCGTTTTTGGTTAATATACACAATTGTACTGAAATATAAGACTATATTGAACAATAAAGAAAATATTCATTTAAAAGGTTACCCTCTTAAAAGGATTCATCAGGATTCAATTATCATCAGAGAGAAAATAAAAAAAAAATGAAAACGTATAGAAATCACAGGAATTTAATCAAATCGTTATACC